GCCCCGGCCCGGCTGCCCCGGAACTGACGCGCTGAGACATGCGCGCGGCACTGTAGCGCTGAGGGGGCGGCAGGCACTAGGAAGAAGGCGGGAGGAGCAACGGACCTAACGGGCGTGGGAGGTACTGTGTAATTACTTTTAGAAAATCCAAAATGAGTTAGTGTGTAACCTTAATTCTTGCATTGTGGTGTGGAAGGCTATAATCCTGTAATCATCTGGTACTTATTGTGCTGCTGCAATGCCACTACATAGCCAATTTAAAGTAGTTAAATGGTTAGTAGTGTTCACATAACCAGTACATTCATCCTGTGACTTAAACAGCCGTATGTGCTGGAACTACTAGTGTGGGAGGTGCTGCCGCACCCCCTGGCTTGAAGTAGTTTCCATTATATAGAGGGTTTAAAGTTTGGTTGAGTAGCTCTCAGCACCCCGCAAGGCTACCAGTCTGCAAAATGCACAGCTGCAAGGGTACCCCCCAAATTACCTTCAGCAGCTTTGCAGGCACTGGTGGCCAGGCTCATCACCACCCCCCTGCCTGTGGCCTGAGCACAGCAGAGCTGTCTCTAAATTGGGTAAAACTTAATCAAAACAAATAGTCTAGTAGCACCTTAAAGACTTAACAAAATATGTAGATGGTATCATGAGTTTCTGTGGGTACAACACACTTCTTTAGATGCCTGCAATAGATCCAATAAAAAGTCCAGAGCCAAGAATAAATAAGGGAAAAGGGAGGAAGAAAAAGAGAAAAATGACAGTGAACAGATTGTTCAAGTTACAAGAGGCTGATAAAAACAATTAGCACCTCGGTTGGTTGGTTGGTTAAGTCATTAGGATGTGGAAGGTAGTGTGTGGAGCCCACCCCACCTTTTCCGGAAGCCCCACCACTGCTTTGCTGCACCCACACCACCCTGCTTTGCTCCCTCCTCACCTCCATTCCACTCCAACCCCTGAGCAAAGTGGGCTAGGAGACTAAACGGGGGCCTAGTGTTGGTAGCAGGGATCAGGACCAGCCCCATACTCACTGGTAGCAGCAGGAAGCAGAGTGATCCAGCTGCAGCCTGCTCCACTCCACTAGCTTCCAACCACATCACACTGCTTTCCACCACCACCAGCAAGTTCAGAGTTAGTTTCACCCTTTTTCCTAAACCCCTTCCTGTAGTGGAATTTGCCCCTTGCCCGAAAAAGATAAGGAATTAGCCTAACAGCAATTAGGGGCTCACTAGCCTGTGAGCAAGAATGAAGCTGTATTTCACATTTTCTAACTTGTGACAGGCACAAGCAGGCAGAGTAAAACCACACTTAGGCATAAGATAAGAGTACCCCTACCCAGTTACTGGAATGTCAATCGTGAACGTTAGAAATAATGTACTGCTGTGCTTTAACCAATGAAATGTAAAAGCCAATCAAACTGTTATTCATGTATCCGATAAAAGGCTATGCACAGAGCGGCACGGGGTCGCTCCTCACTATTTTTTGCTGTAAAGCTCGAGGGGACGACCATCAGCGCTGATTAATAAAGGTCTGGTAAATCCTCCTTCGGGCATCCGTGTCATTCTGTTACACCGGTTTGAGTCCGGTACGGTTACATTCCCAGGACAACAAGGCTATATCTACACTGGCGGGTTATTGCGCATGATCAGCCGTTCTTCCACAGAGCATCCACACTGCCCATCTGCTCTTGCGCAAGAAGATTTACAGTAAAGCGTGATAGGAGAGGACTTCTTGTGCCAGAGCTATGCTCTTTTCTAACAGGTGTAAGCTCTCTTGCACAAGAGCTCTTGCACAAGAGGGCAGTGTGGATGCTTGGCAGGGGTTTCTTCCGCAAGATAGCCCTTTGGCTAAAATGGCCATCAGAGCTTTCATGCGCAAGAGAGCATCCACACTGCCATGGATGCTCTTGTGCAAAAGCACATCTTGCACATGGCATTGTGAACATGTTCTTGCACAAGAACACTTGCGCAAGATGTGGGAACCAGCAGTTGGGCTGGGTCTGGGTCTCTCCACTTCTTGCTGCTGCTTGTGAGTGTGGGGGTGGGCCCAACCTCTGTTGCTTCCCTGCCTAGCTGCCCTGCTCCTGCCTACCCTCATTGATGGACTGCCCCTACTACAGAGTGTCCCCCACGGGGGGCTGTGTAGGACACCAGAACTGCTAAGGACAACTTTGGCCTTCCACTATAAATATTGTTGCAGCATCTCTAAGTAAGCTTGTATGGTTTAGGGCCATTGATTTTAGATGAGCCTGGTTCATCAAGCACCAACAGCACCTTTTGTGGTGACACAGCATTCACAGCATGTTTTGGGTGTTGAGGCAGCTGGGGATAGATGGAGCAAGCCACTGGCGGTGAGCCCTGTATATAGGGCAGCATAACTTTCAGGAGAGTCCTTTCTAGTTTCAAACACCAGAGTTACTGAAAGCATTGTTCTATCTGAGCTGTGGGACGGCCACTCATCATCCCATTAAGACCTGCACAGGCGCTGAGGATGGCAGCGAAAAGAGATGCCTCTACCCAAACCCCAAAGCTACCACAGATAGGGGAGAGGTGCTCTACCTTACTTGCTGGAGCAGGGAGCTGTGGTGGATGGGACAAAGGCCCCCTCCCTACTGGCCCCAGCACGAAGCAGCCACAGCTGGCAGGGAAGCGCCACTCACTGAATCCCATTAGGAAGAAGCCATGGGTAGCAGCAAGGGTGCCATTTTTGGGAGAGCGAAATGGGGCAGCAGCTGGGTGTACTGGGACACAGCTTGCTTTTCTTCCTGTTCCCCTGATGATAAGGGAATGAGGGGAAAGTGCTTGCATTCCGTGAATTACCCCTCTGCCCCCTTCCTTCACCAGCCAGGATTGAGAGGCATGCATGGAATCCAAGTACTTTCCCTTCGTTCCCTTATCATCAGGGGAACTGGAAGAAAAGCAAGCTGTGTCTTGGTATGCACAGCTGCTGTCCTCCTCCCCCTCCACACACACCCCATGCTCTCTTGAAACACCACCCTTGGCCAGCAGGGAAGCCATCATCAGGTTCAGCTCCTCGGCAGAGGATAAACGATTCTATGCATTGAGCACTGGAACTGCACTCTCATTGACTGGGAACCAGCCAATGGGAGCTGGGGGCAGGCAGTGTATGTGGGCAACAGCAGCACGCATGGTGGAGCCTCTTGCCACTTTCCTCATGAATTGGAGCTGATGACCATTTCTGGGGCACAGTGTGATGCCCGAGGCAGGCAGGCATCAGGCAGCCTGCCTTTGTGCTGCTGACCAGGAGCCTCCATGTAAGCCCATCACTCAACACTCTACACCACACAGAGTCCTTCCAACTTGGAGCCACCTCCTACACCTCAAACACCTCATTCCCAGCCCCACTTCAAAGCCCATGCCTCCAGTCCAGAGCCTGTACCCCCTCCTGTACACCAACCCTTCCCAAAGCTGGAGTTCCCTCTTGCATCCCAAAATTATCATCCTTAACCCAGCCCCAGAGTCTGCACCCCCAGCCAGAGACCTCACATCCCTGCACTCCAATCCTCTGATATAAGCCTGAACCCCTCAGATTCAGCTCCATACGAGAATCCATACCCTCAGCCAAATCCCTCCTGCACCCCAATTTTCT